GTACCTCTTATGTTTTGAAATTATGTTATATCAAAGTTCACATCATATAGTTTCTTCAATCATGCATATCACTAGGTAGATGGTGGACAAAAAATAATTTTATTCACAGAATGAGGTGTTTTGGTCATTTTTAAAATAAAAAGATTGAAATAGTCATATAACTAGAACTAGAACTCCCATATTCAAAATAATCGCAATAAGGGTTCACATATAAATAGTTTGTCTTTAACTTGCCAGAGCCTTTTGCCGTTAAGGTGAACTACACTTCACCAAGATCTGTCAACTTTGAAATTTAATCACCTTAATAATAATTAAAAAAAAACCTTTAATATTTAACATTCATAATTTTCAAGTCTAATAATAAATTTGAATTAAATGAATTCATTTAAAATTAATGATTTAAGTTTTAAAAAAGAATAATGGTAAGTAATCTGAAAGTGGGATACATTGTGTAATACCCCTAAATTTCAAGGTTTTTATTTATTTATTTTATTTCATTTATATTTGGTTACGTGGCTATTTGAGTTGTTTGTGCAATTGTTTTAGGATTTTATTTGGTTGTTATTTGGTTGTCATTTCAATATTAATTATTTAGTGTTTATTTTATTTATTTTATTTTTATTTACTTGGCTAATTGGAGTTGTTGGTGTGTTTATTTATGTGTTATTTAAATGTAATTATTTTGTAGTAATTCTGTAGTTAATTGTAAATTTTCATTAAGGTTATTTTTATTTGTGTGGATGGGTAGGTATATATATATATATATATATATATATACAAATATATAAATATATATATATGGATGTAGGCGTGTATATAGATAAAGTATATGCGCACGGTAGTTTAAGGAAATTATGATGTTAATTTATTATTATAAGTTTGCATGTGTAATTGTACAATTAAATTATAAAATATTATATCATTAGATTTCAATGTGGGACGAGTCATTGGTGTGTGGTTTAGATAAAATATAAGTGCACAGTTTGTTGAATTGGAAGTTAAATTGTGTTTTTATTTATTCTTATTATCTATAATGTTGTAACAATTAGTGGCTGTACAAGGTAAAAGTGGGTTGGCTGAAAGTTGTAACATATATGGGTGTGGTATGGTGTGGTTGGATGTAGGTGGGTAATGTAGAATCACTTTAGGTTATTTTATTATTTATATAGTTCATTATCTGGGTACTAGAAACATAGCAAATGAAAAAAAAAAAAAAGACACGAAACAGAGGGCGGCAATAAGAGAGGAAGAAATAGAGAGAAGGGAAATCAGAGAGGAAAGGCTAAGGATTTTGACCCAAAATTTTAAGGCAAGTCTTTGTTTTACTTGTTCCCTTTGTCTTTTGTGTTTCGATTCATCTGTAGAACAACTTTAGAGAATTATTTGTAAATTAATTTGATTATATTTATGCTAAGGATGGACCTTAACAGAGGAATATGTGTGTATATATATAACTATATATATATATATATATATATATATATATACACATGAATTTAGTTTTGTAGTTTCTGGTTTTTTTTTATTTCATACAAAATTATTGTAATTGCGTAAAATAACTACCCAATTTGTACGGACCATCAGCAGCTTTTCATCATCTTCCTTTACTATGGATTTATTGATTCATTCTTTGCAATTGATTTAATCTTTGAAATTTATTTTGCATGTCTATTTGTCTTGCAATTGATGGTGCAAGTGAGTTTGTTTGGTTTGCAATTTAAATCATTAATTGTATTTGGTTAATTACTGTAGGATTGGGTTTATTGGTTTTGCAATTTAAATCATTAATTGCATTTGATTAAATTACTGTAGGACTGGGTTTATTGATTTTGCAATTTAAATCATTAATTGCATTTGATTAAATTACTGTAAGAGTGGGTTATTTGTTTTAAGCTGTAAGTTGCATGGTAAGGTATAAAAAAACAAATAAATAAATAAATATAATAATAATAGTAATAGTAATCAAGGCTGCATTATTGGTTGCATGAAATTTTTAATATTTTTATAAAAAAAAATTACTTTGTTTAAGTAGGTTTATTTGTTAAAATGGGTTTAATAAGCTATGTTAATCATTTCGGATGAAGGTAAGGTTTAATTATCATGTTTATAGGTTTGTAGTTAAGAAGTTATTTGAATTGCAAGTTTCTTGTACGATATTTATAATTTCTTATTTTGCTATATCAATTGTTATAGATTATGGAATGATTATAATTATACATGTGATTATATATGTATATGAACTTATGCATACTTTGATATAAGTTCACATAGCAGGACCATTGTCAGGATATGGTCTCAGAAGCACCATTGTTAAGATATGGCTTGCTGATACATATATGGGCTGTCTATTAAGTCTAAACCTATACGTGTAGTCATACCATTGTCAAGATATGGTTATGACTTTATATTGTGTCATTGTCAGAATATGGCTATAGTTACTTACATAAATATATTTTAATTGGGTACCATATACGAGCTTGAGATCTCGGGATCGATGGTTAGGGTTGGCGTATATTGCCATGTGAGATAAGTAGCTGGATATAGGGATGTGTGTGCCTTGGTAGAAGAGGTACTTATGACCACCTTGTGTGTGCTTGCATGATACCTACTATCCGGTTGAGGTTGTCTAATAGTGAAAATCTATAGTGTGTATACTTATGTATATTGACTTATGTAGTTATTGCATGAGTCGAACTAGGATGGATCGTTTATCAGGGCTCTGTTTAGGATGTAGTAGAAAGGGCTTGTTGTTATCTTTTCAGGTCCTCGACAGTTCTAGACGTAGAGTCAGTTCGTGCAGAGCAGAGGCCAGACTTCATCACTCTTTCGGTGTCATAGACGTAGGACCTCCACTATGTTTTCGCTATCATTTATTATTTCTGAGTTAGACATTTATTTGTTTCTTCTTTAGTTGGGATTTTTATTAGGGGACCACATTGTATAGATTCCCAAGTTGTACTCTGGAGGTTTTATTCTTATAATGAGAATTTATTAGAGATTAATGTATTAGAGGATTTATTATTTAATTATTAATTTAGATTTCCCTTTCAGCGTTATTTATTTATTTAATTTTTATTCCTCTTGTATTCTGTGCTTGTTTATTATTGATTGGTTGATATTCCCTGATTTTGTGCGCGGACCTGATTAACCCGTGTTCCGAAGTTAGGGGGTATCACACATTGATATTTTTTTCTTTTTTATGTGATTAAAAGAAGACGTATGATAAATTTAATCTGATGAATCTGACACTCTCAGACCCTGTAATGTATCATTACTCTTAAGTCTCAACACCTATTAAAGTTGAAAACTGATGATGCAAGATTATGTGGCGACCTGAAGCGACGTTGTACCTCAAAAAGGAAGAGAAAGGTGATCAGATACCGGTGTGGTACTGGCCTAAGAGCCTCCGACGATCAAGTCAGTGCTAGATCAGAAAGGAGGAAAAGGTTAAGAGCTTTCTTAAGGATTTGTGTTATACCTTTTATGTTAACCCGAAAGCCCTCTTTATATGGATGTCAAGTTGTATTGAAGAAGGAATAGTATTCCTCACACTTTTCCAACATGAAAGGGAGGACGTATTTTTATCCTTATCAACGATAGTGGAGTTTATCCTGATTTACAGCTTTGTGTGACGGTCAAACTTCTTGGCTAAAGATTCCTCATCAATTGCCCCTATTCTCGGGTTTGCATGTCGAACGTACAGAATGTAAAGATTTATCCCTTTAACTTATTCTTCACCATGCCATATATATATTTACATATATATTATTATATATTTTTATTTTTGTCCAACAAGTGAAGATAACACATATATACTTTACTTGCTAGAGGAATGCACATGGGCTAATGTAGCCCAAGTGGTTAGAGACTTTCCCAATGATTCAAGGGTTCTTGGGTTCAAAACTCCCTTCAAGCTCCAAAATACTCTTTTTAATTAAAAGAGGCACGTGGCACACTTTAGAGAATCTGCCACGTGGCAGGAGCTGTAGAAGAGGTTGCCACGTGGTACACTTTGGAGAGGCTGCCACGTGGCTTGTAACACTTGTATGTTGTATAGCAGTAGGCATCATATCAAAATATATTTACACAAAAAAGCAAGTTAGAAAAGTAAAGTAGGAGTAGGCAGCTTCAGAAAAATCACGAGTAAAGGAATCAAATAAAGTGCGCGCAGAAGAATCACCAGAGACATCAAATAAAGTCTGAGAAATTAGGCATGCCTTCATTATTACGTGTTTGTTTTTTTGAAAATCAACTATTCTCACGATACTCCTTCTTCACCTATTCGCCTTATTTAAGGAGTATAGAAAAGTAAGATGCTACTTTCGTAATCTTTCAAGGTAAATGTCTTTTTCTCTCACTGTTTTTTCTATGTGATGGATAGTGTTAATGTAGACATAGGAGACAACGTTCAGTCTTCAATTTCGAAGTCTGATCTGAAATTTTTTTGATTTCTGTACGTTATTCCTTCTTGTATCCACATCCGGGCTCCCCTTCTCCTTGAAAGAGCCTTCGAGGCTCCAAATGGTGAAATTTGTCTCTTTGAATGTGCCTTTCTTGCTGGGTTACGCTTACCCTTTCCCCCCTTTATTAGGGAATTTTTCTCCTTCCTTGGAATTACCCCAGGACAACTGACCCCAAATGCCTAGAAGGCCTTAATAGGGTGTGTTATCTTATGGAAGGCGTGTGGTAACCCTCCTTTAACTATTAGCAAAGTCTTGCTATGTTATACTCCAAAGAAGGTAGATCGATCATGGTGGAACCTAACCAGCCGATGTAAGTGTCCCTTAATTGAGGGACCATCCAAATCAAATTCGGAGTGAAGAAGCCGGTTCTTCTTCATTTCAGGAAGGAACTGGGAATTTTCTAACGAAGATACCTGTGCTAAACTAGATTTACCGTTCCCCGTACTTGGGGTCAAGTAGACCTCAATGGTGAGTTACTTATGCATGCATATTTTCTTACATGGCAGATGACACGTACTATTTCTTTTTTCTAGGTTTTCATACTTTGGGTGCGCCAGCTGAAGCAGAGGAAAATATAAATAGAGCCATTCAATATTCATCAAGGTCCTTTTCCTCTTTAGTGACCCCACGGTCACTCTTCACTGCTGGACTTTGTCGGGGTGTAGTGTCTTCTTTGTGTCAAGCGTCTACAGAAGGTATGCTCTGTATGACTCCCGTTGTTTCTCTTTTGAAACACTAACCTCCCTTTTGTGACTTAGATTCACCCAGCATGTCGTCGGGGTGAAAGTTTGGGAAAGATATTCTAGCCCAGGTGTAGAAGGAGCGTGCTAAAAGCAAAACCTCGCCACAGGGCTCCTCGTCCCTGTCGACGAGGAGATTTGGGAGTGACGTTCTTTCTCAGGTTCGGGAAGAGCGTTCTAAGGAGAAGGCTACACCTCCCCGCTATCCTAAGACAACTCAACCACTTCAAAATCAAGGAAATCCTACTCCTGTTGATGACACTTCCCTTGCAACTGCTCATGAATAGATTTTTAATACAGGAATGCACCTCCCTAAAAATGCCTTTACTCATCAAGTTGGTGCATCTATTTTGAATGACGTAAACTATGTGAATGACATAGTTGAGAACATGCTCATGCCTTCATATGACTCTAAAAGGCTCAAGGGGCTTCCCTCCGAGCAACTCTTAGCCTTTCACGCCCAGAATGTTTGCAAGGTAAGGTAGTCTTACCTCCTTTTACTCTTGAGTAATGTATATTCCTTGTCGATAACTAATAATTTTACTTGTGCACGTAGATGGGAGCATTTGCTAAAGAGTTATCTCGACGTACGAAGCTCTTCGAAGAGTCTATACTAGCACTGGATGCGGAACTGACAGCTGAAAGGCTAATTCAAAAAGAGGTTGTGATCGGCTACACTAGAGAGAAAGAAAAAATCGAAAAACATTTCCAAGCTAGGCTAGTGATTGAAAAATCTTCTGCCGTGGAGGAGTACAAGGCCTCAGCTGAATTTGATCGGGTCAACGCAAATTATTTTTTTGATGGTTTTGAGGAGTTTAGACAGCAAGCCAGGGCCACCTATGAAGACCTGGATTTCCAACATTTTCAGCCATTTGCTTCTAGAGACCAGAGTCCAAGCAGTTGTCTTCAGAGTGGACCGTGCCAGGGAGAATCAAAAGAATGAGGACCGAGCCATTAAGAATGAGATCAGTAGAATCCAGCCCTGGAGGCCCACAGCAGTGGGCATTTTACATCTTGAATGTGTAATTGTCTTTATTTCATTTCCTTAAGAACAATGTTTATTATTGCTCTGAATACGACTTTGTAATTTCACCAACTTGGGTTGGGCGCTGCTATTTATTTGTTCTTTTTTGAACTCTATAGCTCGTTTCCTCTTATTAACCCTTTTAATGCAGCTTATTTGATTATAACCTTTATAGTACAGGGATAAGGGCTACAAGATTCATTCAGCTCGAATCCTGAAGCGCAGAACATTTTGTTCTTTTTGTGACGATCCCATGTAATATAGGGACATTAATCACGGGATTCATTCAGCCTGAGCCCTTATAATACAAGGCGTTTAATATTAGTCCCTTCTAATACGGGGACGAGGTTTACGAGATTCATTCAGCCCGAACCCTTATAATACAGGGCACATTAATGTTAATCCCTTATAATACAGGGACAACCTTATATCTATAGGATATATGAAAATATAAATTTGCACAGTTAATGCGATAAAAATGGATTTTATTGAGAGTCGAACCGAAGATTCACTTACGGTCACAAATAATCTAAACTACACGATACTAAAATGAAACTAAGAGTAGCACTAACTAGAAGTAGCACTAGACAATATGAAACTAAAGGTACGTACTAATGTCTAATTCTACTGATAGTACTTTCTGAGGTGTTCAGCATTCCAAGGATGGCCAAGTTGCTTCCCTCCTAGTGTTTCTAGCCAGTAGGTGCCTTGTCTCTTTGTTTGAACGACCCTATAAGGGCCTTCCCAGTTGGTAGCAAACTTACCCTCGTTCAGTTCCTTGGTGGCTTGGGTGACCCTACATAAGACAAGATCCCGGGGCTCGAACCTCCTTTCTTTCACCCGAGAATTGTAATATCGAGACATCGTTTGTTGGTATGTTGCCACCCTAACTTGGGCTTGCTCTTTTCTTTCTTCAACTAGATCTAAGTTGACTAACAGATTTTTTTCATTCTGGAGGGGGTCGTAGTTGGTGGTCCTGAAACTTGCCAAACCAGTTTCTACTGGAATTACGGCCTCACTTCCGAAAGTTAGGAGGAAAGGAATTTCTTCTGTTGGGGTTTTTGAGGTGGTTTTATAAGCCCACAACACGTTTGGAAGTACCTTTAGCCACAACCCCTTTGGGCAGTCGCTTTTTTATTAAGCTGAGTATTGTCCTATTGGCGACTTCGGCCTGCCTGTTGGCCTGCGGACGGCCAGGAGAAGAATAGTGATTTCTTATTCTTAGCTCATAACAGAAATCCTTGAAAATAGCACTACCAAATTGCTTCCCGTTGTCCGAAACAATAACATGGGGAACACCAAACCTACATATTATTGATTTCCACTTGAAATCCTTGACATTGTTTGTTGTGATTGTGGCCAGTGGTTGGACTTCCACCCATTTGGTGAAATAGTCGATTGCCACGACAGCATGCTTGGTTTACCCTTTGCCAGTGGCTAAGGGGCTAATCAAATCCATTCCCCATTGGGAAAAAGGCCATGGGCTGGACATCGGTACTAACTGCTCTGGGGGTTGTCTAGGAATATTGGCAAACCTTTGACATTTATCACACTTTTACAAGTATTTTAATGCATCCCTCTGCATAGTAGGCCAATAATAGCCCTGGCGGATTGCCTTGTTAGCCAAGGATCTGCCCCCTGCATGGTTCCCACAAACACCTTCGTGTATCTCCTTCATAATATAATGAACTTCTTCAATTGACACACAATGTAGAAAAGACAAAGAAAAGCCTCTTTTGTAGAGAATTCCATTCACGAACGTATACTTGGGTGCTCGGACCCTGACCTTTCGAGCTTCCACAGGGTCCTGTGGTAGTTCCCCGTCCATGATGTACTTTATTATTGAGTTTGCCCACTCCAACCCTGGTTTTAGCTGGTTTATTTCCTTGCATTCTTCATATATACTAGGTTTTTCCAAGTACTCAAGTGGTATAGCCTTAGTATTCTCAAGCTCGATTGCAGTTGCTAGTCGAGCTAATGCATCTGTATTCTCATTCTCCATTCTGGGTATTTGCTGGATCATGAACTTCTTGAAGTAACCAATTAGGCCTCTTACCTTTTGTAGATACAATTTCATTTTGTCATCTTTGGCTTCGTACTCTTCACGAACTTGCCCTGCAACTAATTGAGAATCAGTAAACACATTCAAGTGTTGCACTCTGAGAGCTTTTTCCAACTTCAATCCTGCTATCAAGCTTCATACTCTGCTTCATTATTGGTAGGCTTGAATCCAAATTGAAGTGCATACATACTTCAGATTCTCTCCTTCTGGCGATATAATCACTAAACCTACCCCACAAGCTCAGGCGGTCAATAACCCATCAACATAAAGTGACTAAGCATCACCTAACTGGTCTGATTCTCAGGATTCATTTTAGAGGTTGTGAGTTCATCTTCCTTTTGAGGGAAAGAAAGCTCTGCCATAAAATCAGTGAGTGCCTGACCTTTTATTGCTACCCTTGGCTTGTACTTGATGCCAAACTTACCAAGTTCCACTGACCACTTCGTAAGGTGTCCTGATGTCTCTGGCTTGTATAGGACCTGCCTCAGTGGTTGGTCTATCAGTACTATCATGGTGTGTGCCTGGAAGTATGGTCTGAGTTTCTTTGCTGCCATAACCAACGCAAACGCTAGTTTTTCTATTGCCGGATACCTTTCTTCTGCTCCATGAAGTACTCGGCTAGTGTAATTATGATACCCATCGAATTCGAGATATGAGTTGATCAGACCCAAGCCCAAACCCGAGGGAAATATCAAACAATTGGTATTTAAATGAACGTAGAATACAAATATAAAATGAGAAATAAATAATTAAAGGCTGAAAGAATTCTAAATTATAATCCTAAAAAATTTAATACTTAAAATCCAATAATCCAAAACCTCCATTATAATAACAACTCGGGAATCCATCCATTGGACCCCTAATATGAAAATTCAAACCGAAATGCAAATAACTAAAAGAACATCTAAAATTAAACCACGGAGAAAAGTCCTACGTCATCGGAAGAGTGAGTGATAGTCTCTGCTCAGCACGATCAGGTCTAAGTCTGGAACTGGCGAATACCTGAAAAATAGAAGTGCGTCATGCCCACGAACAAGTTCCATCCTATTACAATCCAACAGAGACTCGATACGCATGTACATCCTAACCAACTCAATAATAGCTATGTAGTCCGTACATATTTATATATCCACACTATGGGACTCTCATTGGACTATGATAAGGGTCTCAACCTGTGTAAAAGGCAACATGCAAAACGCACCTGAGTGGGCATGACTACCTAAGCCTAACAGGGTATACCTCAACCAACATAGCCAGCTACACATCCTACTGCATATACGCTCCCTAAACGTCGACTCTGAGGCTCAAGCACATATTGCAGTACCATAAAAATATATTTAAAAATCCTATCCTATCCATCCATAAGAAATTCAGTTAGTCGTTCAGCTTATTCAGCCACACAGACTAGCATATAAGGAGGATTCTATTTTTATAATCCGTACCCTTATTCCAAAATAGGTAGGACTTAAATTTGAGATAATCCATCCCTAGTATGCCACTATCCCATACCGGTGCATACAATCCAAACATCCAGCAGTTGATAGTACAGACTATAAATGTAAATATCAACTAATCCATAAATCTCATAATTGATAACAGAAATATTAAATATAAACATCAATTGTTCCATACTAAGCATGATAAAGTTTTATAAATTAACAGACTTATTGATATTACTTCCCCAGGTCTAATAATTGATGATTCATTTCGTACATGTAAACATCATTTAATCCCTACTAGGCATGATAGAGAACAGATATATATATATATATATATATATATATATATATATATATATATATATTAAGATGTAGATTTAAACCTACTCCAACAAACTCCAACAATTGACAGTATATCCAGTATATGTAACTATCAATTTATCCACAACAAGCAAACTAGAGATCTGTAAATTCGTAGGCTTATATGAGATTATTGAAACATGATAACTGTATTCACATCATTGAGAATTGCTATCCTAAGATTTAGCAATTTAAAACCCTTTACATCCGAAAATCGTAAAGTAATTTATTTAAAATTACCTACTATTCAAGTATAAAACTCAGTTGGTTTGTTTTGCATTAGCCTACTCTCTAAATTTTTAATAAGCCTTAGAACATCTCTAAACACTCCAATACAACTTCTACCCGAATCTGAAAACCCCAAAATCCAAGCACCGTAGCCAAAACAGTCGCCGAAAAACTGAAAAATAAAAAAAAATTCAAAGGAGCCGCCTCCCTAGTGCATGGAGCCGGCTCCCTCCTTGAGGGAGCCTGCTCTTTGCTTAGAGGAGCTTGCTCCCTTCCAACGGGAGCAGGCTCTCTTCCTGTTCCCTCTTCGTCTTCAAGTTCGGCGACTTTCCAAACATCTGTCCTCTATTCCTAGGGTTTCTAGGTGTCTGAACTAGGTTCCAGTATGTTCAACAGGCAATTAAATTCTTTATACAATTATCGACATCAACTTAAACATGCATTGTGCATAAAGAATTTAAACTGAGCAGTTTACTATTCATGATCACCTACTGTTTAAAGCAACTCAACCATCCAAACAGATTAATTTTAGTTTTTCCCCATTGTGTTACAAACTAATTAATCTCTTTATACATCAATTTACATGAATTAAAACAGAAGTTACGCAAGGAAGAATTTAAAACAAACAATAAACAACTTGTAAACACGTCCAGTTTTAAGCATCTCAAACATGCAATCCAGTTTAATTTTAATCTTTATTTGTTCCTGGAGTTGTATTAGTCGTGTAAAGAACATGAGCCAAAGGGAGAGAGTTAGGATTAGAACTTGCCTTTAGGTCTCAATCCGAAACCTTGCACCGTTGTCTTCCTAAATTCTCCGGCGAACTACGAGTACTATAAACCTTCCTCTATTCTCTCTCTATCTCCACTGTCATGAATAGGGTTTTAAAACCCTAGGCAGAACTTAATACATATATTTATAGGACACCCTTAAACCTAAGCCTAAGTGTAATATGAGACGGAGAACTAAGTCGGCTACAACGTAAAGAAAAAATAAAACAAAACCCAAAATTTCAATTAACGCATTTAACTTACTCACACAATTACGCCAATGAAAGAAAATACCAATAATCCAATTAATGTAATTACAGAAAAATAAATACAATTTAATAATGAATTAATTCTCATAACCACCATTAAATAAAACAATTCACTTAAATAAAACAAGTCGTCAATTAATGCAAATAAACACGCCAATAAACAATTAAACAATTAAAAATGCAATTTAAACAATAAATTAAATACCAAGAATATCCTTTTGAAATTAGGGGTATTACAATAATACACTGGCTTTTGAATACCACTTTCTTCCTTTATCAATGTTGAGCTTACCGCCACAGGGGAAACTGCTAGGTAAAGGTACAATTCTTCTCCAGGAATTGCTCGGGACAACAACGGTGGTGAACTAAGATAGTTTTTGAGCCCTATAAATGCCTGCTCGCATTGGGGGGTCCACTCGAAGGCTTTCTTTAATATCTTAAAGAAAGGAAGGCACTTGTCAATGGCTTGGGAGATTAACCTATTCAATACTGCCCCTCTTCCTGCCAGCCTCTAGACCTCCTTGGTTGAGGTAGGCGATCTCATATCTAGTATTGCTCGAATCTTCTCAGGGTTTGTCTCGATTCCTCGTTGACTTACCATATACCCTATAAACTTTCCCGAGGATACCCCAAAGGCACATTTGTTTGGATTCAACCGCATCTTATGTGCCCTAAGCACATCTAAAGATTCCTGTAAATCAACTAAATGGTCCTTAGCCTTGAAGCTCTTTACCAACATGTCAACCACATATACTTCCATGTTTCTGCCTATTTATTGCTTAAACATTATGTTAACTAGTCTTTGATAGGTGGCACCAGCATTCTTCAATCCGAACGGCTTTACCTTGTAGCAATACAGACCTCTATCAGTGATAAAAGAAGTTTTTTCATTATCAGGAGTATACATGGGGATCTGATTGTATCCAGAGTAAGCGTCCATGAAACTCAGTAACTCATGTCCTGTCGTCGCTTCAACTAACATGTCAATCCTCAGTAAAAGAAAACTATCCTTTGGGCAGGCTTTATTTAGATCTGTGAAATCCACACAAAGCCTCCATTTTTCATTTGCCTTTTTGACCAGGACCACGTTTGAGAGCCAGTGGGGGTATTGTACCTCTGGAATAAAATCAGCCTTCAGGAGCTTCTCGACCTCTTAGGATATAGCACGGTTCCTCTCTGGGGCAAACACTCGCCTTTTCTATCTGATTGGCTTGAATGATGGATCCTCATTAAACCGATGCTGCATAACAGAGGGGTCGATGCCCGGCATGTCGTCACGCCTGCATGCAAACACGTTTTTATTACCTCTGAGAAGTTGAACGAGTGAATCCCGGATGAGTGGGTCAAGTAGTGACCCTATACTCACCTTTTTCCCAGTTCCCTCTTCATCCAAATCTATCTCCACAAGGTCTTCTATTGGTTTTGCCCTTTGAGTGGGCTCCTCCCTTTGAGTAGGTGATCGGTTGGTCAATTAAACATCAACCTTCGCAATAGCACGAATCATTGTAAAATAGGGCTATTGGTCGGGTAAGTCGAACCACTGGGACTGCGCTAATCTATGGCAATTTAAGTGTCTAGAGTCATTTTAGAGTGATAAGGGGTGTTCATAAAGGGTTTGTGTGTTTGTCACTAAACTAAGAAATTAAAATGCATAAAACAATAGATTGCAATGAAATTGAAGAAGTGAGATACAAGTAGAAAAGACTAGGGAGATGAATCCACACTACACCCTTAGTACATGCTAGATTAGGTCTAAATTTGGGGATAAATAGCATATATGCAATGGTCAAGAAATATGAAGCAACTCCGTTGCTTAATAATTATCAAGAAGTTCACTTAATCAAAACAAGAATGATCCATCAAAAGCTACCATAGTTGAACTACTTAAACTAAGGTGTAGAATCAAATACACTATCTCAAGCAAAAGACCATCAAGCTTTCAATCAAATGGTGAAGCACATGAAGGTACGAATCAAGTATAAACCATCAAAGGAGGTACCTAAGCAATGGAATATCAAGTTTCAAAATCAACATGCCTTGAAAAACATTCATAGTCTATATATTTTCATTGTCACTATGAAAATAAAAGCAATAAGATTGATTCAAGAATCATCAAAGATATGACAATGAACTTACATCAACCATTTACACATTAAAATTCATTACAAGAAGGAATATGCTCTTAGACTATGAAACTACCATACATTATACATTATAGTCCCCAAAAGTATAGCCTAATCTAGAACATGATCAAAAGGGGAGGCTTCATCACCTCCCTAGAGAAGATTTAGTTACCCATAGGAGCAATGGAAGAAGGAAGAAGCTTGAAGACCTCCTCCATTTTCGTGCTCCCTTCTTCAAGCTTGAAGAACTCTCTCCCTTTGCTCTCTTCTCTCTCCTCTAATCTTGCTAGAATATATGATATGAAATGTGTGGCCTTTGGTAGCCTTTTGTCCTCCAACAAAACCCTCTCTCTCCTCCAAAAAACATCCCCAACCACCTCATAAAGAGGGCCATCCAAAATTGGAAATTTCAGAGCACAAGTGGGCTATCTCGTGGAGCAAACTGCCCAAATTTCGAGTGCTCGAAATAGGGCTCGAGCACTCGAATTTAGTGTAAAAAGCTCCATGCTTCACTTGCTCCGCCCAGACCTACTTTGATGAAATGGCCATAACATTGCACTCCAAACTCCAAATGACAAACCGTTTAAAGATTTGGAGAGCTGATTCAGAGCTTTAAAAACTTCATGTTTTGATAAAGACCCAAATCTCAAGTCTGGTTGGTCGAAAATGAGGAGAAAGGCAGTACTTCAGTGCTGCCAGGTAGTTCTGCGCACCTCTGGTAACAAGGCCATAACTCTCTGCTCCGAGCTCCGAATGATGAACCGTTTGAAGATTTAGAAAGCTAATTCAGAGCTCTAAATCTTTCATGTTATGATGGAAGTCCAGTTCTCGAGCTTTCTGGGTCAAAATGGCGAGCAAAGTCCTGACTCCACTGCTGATCTCGTGAAGCAATCTGCCCTAATTTCGAGCACTCGAAATAAGGCCTCGAGCACTCGAAAATTGGCCAGAATGCCCTATGCTTGGTTTGCTCCGCCCGGACCTACTTTGGTAAAACGGCTATAACTTTGCGCTCTGAACTCCAAATGATGAACCGTTTGAAGTTTTGGAAAGCTAATTCAGAGCTCTAAAAACTTCATGTTTTGGTGGAGATCCAATTCTCAAGGATAGTTGGTCGAAAAGGAAGATCAAGGCAGAATTTCATTGCTGCCAGGCAGTTCTGCGCACCTCTGGTAACAAGATCATAACTCTCTGATCCGAACTCCGAATGACAAACCGCTTGAAGATTTGGAAAACTGATTCAGAGCTCTAAATCTTTCATGTTATGATAGAAGTCCAGTTCTTGAGTTTGGTAGGTCAAAATGGTGAACAAAGTTCAGGCTTCACTGCTGCCAGAATTTCAGAATTGGCACCTTTGATGTTCAAAACTCCACAAAGCATCCTTCTTGCTTCTTTTTGGCCAATGGACCTAAAAATGTGCAAAAACATACAATTGGAGATAATCTATATAAAATACACAAATAAAGAACTTAACTAATGCAATTTAGGGCGCTTGAATATACAATATTCGGCGCTTATCAGTAGGCTCCTTGTCCATTAAACCTTCTGGTGTCTCAATGGCCAATGCTTCCTCCAACTATTTTCTTTTTAAAGTGGTGGCGTAGCATTCCCTCGCTGTTGCTTGGTCACCTCTTAATTCACCAATACCCTGCTCTGTAGGAAAACGCATCAATAAATGGTATGTGGAAGTAACGGCCATCATAGTATTTAGAGCCGTTCTCCCTAATATTATATTGTAAGTAGACGGATAGTCTACCACAAAAAAATCCACCATTACTAATATTTGTTTTGGTCCGGTCCCGGCTGTCAAAGGAAGTGTAACTATTCCCAAGGGAAAGACTTTTTCTCCAGAAAAACCAACGAAAGGGGATTTTGTTGGCCTTAACCTTCCCCTGCCAATACACAATTTGTCGAAAGCATCAATAAATAACAAGTCAGCTGAACTACCATTGTCGATTAGTACTCGATGGATTGTGTAGTTGGCCACGACTTCTGTCACCACTAATGGATCGTCATGCGGCTGCTGAACTCCCTTGGCATCTTCTTCCGAAAAAGTGATGACCTCACCTTCTCGTTTCGGGAACTTCGTTTGGGGTTTGGATATCCCCACCTTGTTGACTCCTATGGAGCTCCTAGCTCTCTTAACGTGGGCCTTTCGTGCCGAGCTTGACTCTCCCCCTCCCGCGAGTCCACCGGAAATCACCCTTATTTCACCCAATGGGTGGGTAAGGGGATTATTCTCTCTATTCTCGCGAATAGGTTGACCAGTACCCTTCTCACGATCTGCTGTGTACCCATGTAACTTCTCCAGACGAATTAGGCTCTCAATTTGGCTTTTCAAGTCGAAGCAATCATCGGTATTATGCCCATGGTCTCTATGTAACCAGCAATACTTGTCCTTAGACCTTTTTGTCGGATCTGACTTTAACCTAGGGGGCCACTTCAAGGTATGGTCGTCTTGGAGCTGCATTAAGATTTGAATAATAGGAGCGTTCAAGGGAGTGAAGTTAGTGTAGCTATCTCGCCCTCTAGGGACTCTACGGGACCTATCAGGCCTTTTGAACTTGGAATCTTTTTCGTCTTTAGAGAAAGGGGCTGACCTCTTCTTATCTCCTTTCTTGTCGTCGACTTCTTTGCCCTTCCTAGAATTCATAGCATCTTTGGCATTCATATGTTTTTGGGCCTTAATAAATAATTCTGCCATACTGTTTGGTGGGTCCTTAGATAAAGAAAAAAGGAACTTGGAGGATTGTAGTCCTCCCATGAAGGCTGTAAAAGCAACCTTATCATCCACCTCATCGACTTGCAACATCTCTGTATTAAATCAACCAATATAGTCACGTAACACCTCCCATTTGTCTTGCTTAACATTCAGCAAATAAGTAGCCAATTTTCGGTGTCGTCTCCCTGCAATGAAATGCCCTATGAACTGCTTACTAAGTTCTTCAAAATTGCTAATAGATCCCGACTTCAATCTATTAAACCAAACACGGGCTAATCCTTTGAGGGTGGTAGGGAACGCCCTAGACATGATCTTATCTGGGACCGCTTGTAAGTTCATCAGTGACTTAAAAGTTTTCAGGTGATCGATGGGGTCACGGGTTCCGTCGAAACTCTCAAGATGGGGCATCTTGAACTTCCTTGGCAATGGGAGAGCCATCACTCGAGGATTGAAAGGTAGATTCGTCTTTTGAACAAGGTCATCAACTGTGGCGGGACCTTTCCCTTTCAAGGTTTAAGCCATCCCATCAACTTGCAACCTGAGATCCTGGATCTGCTGATCAACGTGGGTAGCTTCGGTGCGTTCTCCGGCATTAAATACATCATTTCGGTGACGAGGTGTCCGTGCACCGAAAATATTCTGTCGTTGAGAACGAGCCGTGGAAGCATGACGGTTTCTTCATCGACCTCCCGCATGGTTGTGCCTAACTCTGTCATCATCATCGTTACCCTCCACGACGGGTGCTGTAGGGATAGTTAAATGCCACATGATTACTCCATTTTGTTGGACCAACTGGTTCATACCTTGACTAAGGTTCTGAACATGTTGTTCTAATGCTGCAACATGCTCCCCTTCTTCCGGAGTGCGCCTTGACACGCTCTCATGATGGGATGTGTGCTCAGAATGTTCTCCCCTCAGGCGAGGCTGTCATCCCCTAGGTGGGGTTGGTTGTCGTCATGGTGTAATTGACGATCATTGTTACCACACTCATGATGGTGACTGTCATTACCGTGCGACTGATTTTCGCCATCAAGTTAATGGTGGCTGCTATCATCATGTGATTGGTTGTGGTGGCCTCCTCCATCAAGACGCGAGGGGTGTTGACTTCCTTCTCCAAGATTGACTCCGGATCGCAACATCATTGTTATTCTAGGAAACTAGTATCTCTTCCCACAGACGGCGCCAACTGATGATGTGGGATTCCGCGGCGACCTAAAGCAACGTCGTACCTGAAAAAAGAAGAAAAAGGTGATCGGATACCGGTGTGGTACCGGCCTAAGAGCCTCCGACGATCAAGTCAGTGCTAGATCAAAAGGGAGGAAAAAGGTTAAAAGATTTCTTAGGGATTTGTGTTGTACCATTTATATTAACCCGAAAGCCCTCTTTATAGGGGTGTCAAGTTGTATTGAAGAAGGAGTAGTATTCCTCATACTTTTCCAACACGAAAGGGAGGACGCATTTTTATCCTTATCAAAGATAGTGGAGTTTATCCTGATTTTCAGCTTTGTTTTAGTTATGTGATTAAGAGAAGACGTGTGATAAATTTAATCTGATGAATCTGACACTCTCAGACCCTGTAATGTATCATTACTCTTAAGTCTCAACACCTATTAAAGCTGAAAACTTTATGAAAAATTCTATTTTAAATTGAACCAAATTCCTGATCTGACTTTGTGAAACTAATTCACCACAGTGTTACAACAAATAAAAATATTTAGGCAAGCAATTAATGGAAATAGCAAAATTAAGCTCAATCCAATGCAAATCACAAGAAGTATGAAAACATTTAAGTTCAAAAAGTACATATATATATTATATAGATCCCCAGTTTAATGCAAGCCATAGTTAGAGGAAAAGCCACAACCAAAAGCTTGAAAATTAACCTGACTCAACCCAAGCCATATACAGTGAGAATATAACAATACTAATCAACTCAATCCAACAAAAACTACAGACTATAGTCCTTCAATTTTTCACAATTTCGTTATAAGCATTGTTTGCTGCTCGATTTATCGCAATTAGTCTCTTTGGCCTGTATACGCCTTTTTCTACAAATTTATTGTCTACGAAAACTTCAATAGCTCCCGTCTCCTTCCATAGATCTACAAATTGCAATTCAGATCTATTCTTTTGGCATAGCTCGTACAGCTTTGTAACAGGATGTAATTGCAATTCATCTGGTGTGATCAAAGGTTCCAACAAACTCTTGGCTACCTACAATATTAGAAATATATAAAACTACGTCGATCAATTTTTAACAACAATATCATATCATTTAGTATTTATAATGTACATGCCAAAAAAAAAAAAAAAAATTGTGGGATAAAATATAAAAATTTAAATCAATAGAGATTGTGCAAGGAAAAAACCTTCCATGTAGTATCCAAAGAGGAATTGCTGTCAACGAAAACGGCCCCTATTACGGATTCAACTATATCAGCAAGGACCTTTGGTGCTTTAATCAACCCACTGGAATGCAGAGGATAATCCGAAATTGCATTCGTGAATTCGCGAATCTGAACAATTTATTGTATTAATTTCACAAACCAAATATCATTAAAAAAAAAAAAAAAAAAAAAATTGAAATAGATTTTTTTTAATTTTTAATTAATCCTAAAGAAATAAATGTAAAAGGATAAGTATATCCGTGTCGTATTAAAAAAATAAAAAAATAAAAAAAAAATCTGGACTTACTTGCCCATCAAGTAGGGGTTTCCTGTGCCGTAAATAAAAGTGCAATTGATGGTTGACCGCCGTGCGTGCGAGTTTCTCCGTATTGACATTAGCAGAACGGAGGCGAGTCAACATTCCCGGCGGCAGATCAGGGTAGAAGAAATAGTGCTCTCTCGCGATAAGGAGATTCAGCATGGCGTCGCCGACAAACTCGAGTCGTTCATAGGATGAACAACTTTCTTGGTGGTCATATGAATGATGCGTGAAAGCTTGTTGTAACAAAGTTTTGTCATTGAAACTGTACCCTATTATCTCCTCAACTCCCGCCAGATTCGGAATTGACTCTGTTTCTATAATCGGAGTCGGCTCCTTTGCTTCTTGTTCATCTTCTTCTTCTTGTATATACAAATCTTGTAATGAAGTGAGCACTTGTTCTTCCTTATCTTCCATGAGCCCCAAACAGTGAAAATTAAGCAAAAACAATAGAGAAGATAAAAATGAACTTTGATCGATGTAGTCCTATAGCTAGTTATATGGGTGTGTGTGTATATATATATATGCGGTCGTTGATATTGATGTAAACTTGTGAGTAGTTAGAAAATTAATAGGCTGGCAACAAGAGGAATCTAGAACCCAAAATCCTATGAGTCACGCCCAAGTTTTTCTTATAAAGGAAAGGAGAGAGGATATAAAAAAGAGACAGTTATCCGGAGTTGTACATTAGACGCGGTTAGGGTTTGACTTTTTATTTTTTAATAGAAAAAAAAAAAAAAAAAAAAAAAAGTAGAGATCCAAGAAAATTGACTTCTTAGTTAATTCCTTTCCTTCTCTTTTCGATTTATAGGTGCCGCCCTACATTTTTTCTCATCCTTTTCTTTGTTTTCATGGTACTGAAATATAAAAATTTTATTTATACAAAATTGTAATTTTCACTGCCAAAGGCTGTAATGCTTTTCAATCTTTCTTCTTTAAATTTATCTCCTTGTTTTTGTTTAGGAGAATTAGATAAATCATTTGCATAACAATCATATTCGTGTATATATATATATATATATATTAAAATTAATGGTGATTCAAACTTTAATTGCCAACAAAGAATATTAAGATCTTGAGGCATTGATATAATTTTTTACTTTTATTTGTAAAAAAAAATAGAAAGATAGGTAATTTTTCAAATATTTAATTAACTTATATTTTAAAATTATTCATATTGTATTTGACACATAAACAGTCACATAAACTCAATGAAGTAATAAATTTTTATTTGTCAAGCTAAACAGCAAGACTCTTTGTTTTTTTTCTTTTTCTTTCCACCATCAAAACATAGGCCTTTCCCCATACCAAACATAGGTTTAGCGAGAGATCTAGAATGTATGAAAAAAGAATGACCGTAATGGCCGGTTGCGACAAGTCAACGTAGACTTGTCAAAATCAATATATATATATATATATATATAAGTGTAAAGAAAGTATAACAATGTGTACGAGGATTGCAAAGAAAGATACAGTTATTGTATGAATATTATTTTGATTAAAATCATAAAATTTTCCTTCACTTTTAAAAATCGTATATAAAATTCTAATTAGAATTACATAAGTCACTGAACTAACAAAATTGATTAAATTACTTCAAACGTGTGACCACCCATGGGTGGTCGTTAAATATAAAATTTAACCCCTTTTTTTCAAAAAAAAGAAAATGTAATAAGTTCACTTGATAGGAATAGGCTTGGATTTATGATACTCTAAGTTTAGTTTTTTAATTCATATTAGTCGTATAAATTTGGTTTCGATCAGTTTGAATATGCAGCTGAAAATTTTCAATATAAATTCAGTCAAGTGCAATTGCTCAAAATTTGGTTTTCATTGCTTTACTCGTGGTATGTTTTAGAGAGAGAAAAGTGAAGAGTTTTAGAGAGAGAAAAGGGTTAACACACCCACAATTGTCTGGAAAAAATTGACAGGTCCGGCGTGTACAACTGGATTTGGACCGTCCCATTTCTTGGTTGCATGGCTAGACCGACGACTGCATATGTGGTCATAATTTTTAGGCACTTCTAGACGTTCTCTCTTTCTTGATGAATAAGCAAAATGTTAACAATAAGCGAAGTGTTAGTTTGATTATTAAAATATATTTTGAAACCTATATTTTATCTTTAAAATGTTTGACAATTAATTTCAAATAATTTAACTAAACAGAACCAAAATATTTTTAAAATGATTTTTTTGAAAGTCAATACTTTGATAAAGTGGAAAGAAATTTTATTTTTGTTTCCCTTGAAGGACACGGTTGGTGACTCGAAGGAAGTCTAGACTCGAGCCCCAGAAATTGATCTGCAAGCACAGAATCTGAAACCACAAAAATTTTGCACCCAGCAACAATCAAAAGCTAATATATTAAGTTAATTGGATTAGAGTCCTGATCTCTTGCTCCTTATGAAGTAAGAAAAATAATCCACACTTTTTATATGCACCGTTAATTTAACGGTCATTTTACAAACCTACCCATGATCTTTCCTTTTAACACAAAACCACTCTCACCCTATTTTTAGTTTCTATAATTAATTTTACCATTACCTACCCTATTTTTAGTTTCTATAATTAATTTTACCATTACCATCTACTATAACAATAAAAGGTAATTATAAAAGGTAAAAATAGAAACCTTTGAAAAGAAATTAATACCAGTAGCTTTACTTTTATTTGTTGCGGAAGAGTTTACTTTAAGGCTTTGAGAATTAAATGTTTTTAAATTTTGTTAAGTTTCATTCCTTTACGAAGAAATTAAATTTTTTGTTTTCATTGAAATTTAGTTTAAGCTTTAACAATTTTGAATAAAGTCAATGTCACATGATTCCATTATTCAGTTGTATAATATTGTTATTCACACGCATATACGCACAAATAACTATAACAATAATACTTCTTTCCATGAGAGCTTTGGTTCTGAAACAACATGAAACACCTCTAATCCCGAAATCGTGCACACCACTTAACATCTCAGTTGCATCTTTTCCAATACATTTTCAGACCTCCCCTTGAAAACCCACATATACATATTCTCCATATCATGCTGAACCATGAAAACATCAAGCTTCAAGTCTAATTTAGCATACCCACCATGCCCATTACTCTCCCAAGTGATCTTACTCCTTGATTTCTCATTCAAAGTTGGTTTAAAATAAAAACTGAAGAAAAACCAGACACCCCAAACACTATCAACCAGACACTATCAAGCCTATTTTTATTTTGATAATTACCTTTTATTGTTACAGTAGGTGGTAATGGTAAAATTAATTATACAAACTAAAAATAGGGTGTTTTGTGTTAAAAGGAAAGGTCATAGGTGGGTTTGTAAAATGACCGTTAGATTAGTCTATATAGAAAGTGTGAATTATTTTTCCTCAGGACTCTTTAGATTAATATTATTACATATGACATACACGGAAAAATTATAAGTTTGCTTCCTCGAGTAATGTTCATTAATGTTGTAATAAGAAAAAACCTAATACACATATCAATGGGTATTAATATCATCCAAAAAGCTTCAATATAATATCACTTCTATTAATTAATTTTATACCATATTCTTTCAAACACATCTGTCAAGCTCTCCGTGTAATACACATATCAATGGGTGTTAATATCATCCAAAAAGCTTCAATTTAATATCACTGCTATTAATTAATTTTATACCATATTCTTTCAAACACATCTGTCAAGCTCTCCGTGTAAAGTCACATTCTTGCATAACCCAAATTTAAAGTTAACTCTAGCTTGCATACCCTTCTCAAAAGTTAGGATTTACATACAAATCCAATAAACTAAACTAGTAATAACCCAAATCAAAGTTACCAAAATCACAATTACCAAAATCAATACCAAAATCATTACCAAAACTAGTGCCTTCCATCGGCAGATTCTGATCAAAAGAATCAAAAGGCTCAAAAGTAGTGGACGGAGAAGCCCTCGCCCTCGCCATTGCCATTTGATCCGCCGCTTCATTCTTGACCATTGCCATCTGATTCGCCGTTTGATTCATGACCATTGCCATCTGATCCGCTGGATTCGTGACCATTGCCATCTTATCCACTCGATTCATCACATTCTTCTTCAAAACTTCCAACGAAGCAATATAATGCTCAAGCTCCTGTAACCCTAATTCATCAATCGGATCCTCCCACCAACACCTGGTTTCACTCGGTTTTCCTTGCTCCGTCCTGGCTTCTAACTCACCCAAAGCCTTTAAATAATTGTTCTTGCTAACTTGTAATTGCACTCTGAGCTTATTATCGTCATGATCATGTGCTGACATTGTGGAAGAATCCAGGTTAGGATTAGGGTATTGGGCGAGGAAGCGATTGACGACTGTGTCGGCGGACGGGCTGCCGAAGGTGTAGATCTTTCCGGCAGGTGACATGACTACAACGGCAACCTCCGCACCGCACACGATGCTCAGTTCACCGGCCTTATTGATGAGACCTGTCCGGCGCTTCGAGAAGGACACGTGTAGGTTGCTTTTGCCCTCTATTTTCTTCATCGGGATCTTTTGTCGACCCTTGCTGTGTCTCTTCGGCTTGTTCTCCATTACTGCTGAATCCAACCCTAGCTCCTCTCCTCCCACTATAATAGAATACACTCTCTTTCTTTCTCTCTCCATCTCTCTCTATATATATAGACAAACAAATAAAATAAATTAAAAATGCAAAAAGTAAATTGTCAAAATTACTCTTAAGAGTCATAACAGAACAATTCTTTATATAATTATATATAAAAATAAAAAAATAAAATAAATAAGTAAAATAAAATTGAAACTTTGTGTGACGGTGTCACGGGTGGTGCAATGAGTAGCATTATTCTCATATATTACTTTCTGAATTTTATTTTAGTGATATTTGATGATAAGAGCAAAATTTAGTAAGTTTTCCAAAATAATGAAAATAAAGAACTTACTAAGTTTTGTTTTTACCATACTAATCTTTATTTTCATTATTTTTGAAAAATTACTTAGCTTTGCTCTTACCATCAAATATCATAAAAATAAAATAAAAAAATTAAACCTTGAGAATGCCGCGCAATAAACTCTCACTCATATTTTACTTTCTATTTTAATGATATTTGATGATAAGAGCAAAATTTACTAAGTTTGCAGAAATAATTAAAATAAAAAACTTGCTAAGTTTTGCTCTTACCATATTTGTTCCTTATTTTCATTATTTCTGAAAACTTACTTCGTTTTGTTATTACCATCAAATATCATAAAAATAAAATTTAAAAATTAAAAATTAAAATATGAGAATAATGCTGCTCATTTCAGAACTTGTCCTTCGTTGTCCTCCATGAGCCTCAAGCAATGCAAAATAATTAAGCAAAAACAAGAGAGGAGATAAAGATGAACTTGTGATTAGTTAGAAAATTAATAGGCTGACAACAAGAGGAATCTAGAACCCAAAATCCTTTGAGTCACGCCCAAGTTTTTCTTATAAAGGAAAGGAAAGGAAAGGAAAACAGAGATGATATAAAATTAAAAAAAAGGGACAGTTGTCTGGAGTTGTACATAAGAGGTGGTTAGGGTTTGACTTTAATTTTTTAATAGAAAAAAAGTAGAAAAGATAATTGATTTCTTCTTATTTAATAAAATTCAAATTTACTGTAGAATTCTTCGCTTAATTATTGAGCTCTGTTTCTATATGATTAGGGAATGATTGTCATTGTTTTAGTAGGCGGGGATAATGAATTTTTTTTTTTTTTTTTTTTTAGTTAAAGGTTAGTTTTTATATAATGAAAAGAATGTACAAATGAACTCCAAAGTCTCCGACACCAAGCTAGAATGTACAAATGAACTCCAAAGTCTCCGACACCAAGCTGCAATATATAGAAGAAACAAAGCAAACAAGCAAAAGCTTGGCACGAGAACTATAAACAACATAAAGAAACAAATCAAAGCTAACAGCAAAACCAAAACTAAAATGGGGGTGATGATGTGGCAATGGGATTAGACATACTTATAAAGTTATAACGCAGGGGAAAAAAAAAAAAAAAAAAAAAAGAAAAAGAAAAAAAGAGAGTAATGATATTCTGTTCGATCAAATTGCCTACTCTTAATTCGAATCCTACGTGTAAATGTCACGTTGATATTTTATTTGCGACTAAGATAACAAAAATAAATATGGAAAGAAGCTAAAGAGGTTTTGACAACCCCCCTCTATCTCTCTGATTTCTCCATTTCTCTTCTTGACTCACGGTTCTCTCTTTTCCGCTTTGCAAAATTAAAGGGAAAACAAAGTATTGAGAAGTCTCTATTGATTCATAAAATCAAAAAGGAAAATACATATAAATGTATATGTTTGCTTAAAAAAAAAAAAAAAAAAAACTTCAAAAATTCATTACAAAGTGAATGCAAAAGAAATAATCAAGGAAGCAGAATGACTAAGAGGAATGAAGAAACCAGAGAGATAGTCGGGGTCGTCAAAACTTCTTCAACTTCTTCCCATATTTATTTTTTGTATCTTTAGCACCCAAATAAAATATCAACAATTTAGGTAATTACGTGACATTTACACAAGATTCTGACTAGGAGTAAACCAATTTGTTCAGATTATCGTTACTCTAAAAAAAATATTAAGATGAAATCCTAGAGCATTGATAGGATTTTTTATTTTTATTTGTAAAAAAAATAGAAATATAGGTAATTTTTAAATAGTTAATTAACTTATATTTTAAAATTATTCTTATTATATTTGACACATAAACTGTATAATAATAAATTTTTATTTGTCAGGTTAAATAGCAAGACTCCCATTCTTGCTTTTTTCTCTCTGCCTTTCTACCCTACCAAACATAGGTTTAGCGGGAGATTAAGAATTACGAAAAAAGAAAAGAAAAAAAGAATGCAATACTTTAGACCGTAATGGCCGGTTGCGAACTTGCGACAAGTCAGCGTAGACTTGTCAAAATCAATAAACATGAATCAAATAAGCAGACAAAAATGTAAATAAAGTACAGCAATGTGTACGATGATTCCAAAGAAAGATACAGAGTTTTTCATTTCATTCATTCATGTATAAACCTCTAGCACCAATGTTAACGATCGGTTCTTTGGAAAAAGGACATATACTTTTCCTCCCCAGATTATTTCAGTCTAATTTCGGTGCCTTCAAGACACATACAATTGCATTCACACAGAGTAGTGTGAATATATTTTTGAGTTAAAATTATAATTTTTTTTTTTTTTTTTACTTTCAAAATCGTGAATGGGCCCGTGAAATGTCAAATTTAGCCTTTTTATTTTTTTATTTTTATAAATATGTAATAAGTTCACTTGATAGGAATGGGCTTGAATCGATGATAGTCAAGTTTAGTTTTTTAATTCATATTAGTCCTACAGATTTTGTTTGGATAAGTTTGAATTAAGATGCAGTACTTGAAAATTTTCAATATAAATCCAGTCAAGTGCAATTGCTCAAAAATTGGTTTTCAGTAGTGCAATAGATATTGTAATTTTAAAATTTAAAAATTTTAATTTAACATTAATTAGAAATGTTAAATTTAACATTTCACAACCATTTAACGGGTTTAGTTTAGTTTAGTGACGTATTTGATATTAGTGGAAATTTTATGAACAATTTTAAAAGTAGAGGAATTATTTTTTTTAAAGGATTTAACACTTTAATTTTCAATCCATGATGAGTGGAGGCCGGCCACTTCTATAACATACAAAATTGAAAGGCCCGTAATAATTTTTGGGCCCTATTCATTAGCCCGTGGTCTAAGAAATCGATTTGTGGGCTGGGCACCTGTGGCCCAAACAACCACTTGTAGACGTTTTCTCTTTCTTGATAAATAAGCAAAGTGATTATTAAAATATATTATTGATTATTAAAATATATTTTGAAACCTATATTGTATCTTTAAAATGTTTTGACAATTAATTTCAAATAAATTAACTAAACAGAATCAAAATATTTTTAAAATGATTTTTTTTCGAAATAAATTTTATTTTTGTTTCCATTAAAGGACACGGTTGATGACTTGGAGGAAGCCTAGAAGCACTGTGCACCCTACGCATCGTAACAATTCGTGACCCAGAAATGTAGCATGGAATCGATCTGCAAGCACAGAATCTGAAATCACAAAAATTTTGCACCCCGCTACAATCAATAAGCACAGAAAATTTCTTTTTAATTTGATTAATATTATTACATATGACATACATGAAAAAACTAAAAGCTAACTTCCTCTAATACACATATCAATGGGTATTAATATCATCCAAAAAGCTTCAATTTAATATCACTGATATTAATTAGTTTTAGTCAAGCTCTCCATATAAAGTTACATTCTTGCATAACCCAAATTTAATAAAAACAAAGTCAACCCTAGCATACCCTTCTCAAAGTTAAGATTTACATACAAATCCTAATAACCCAAATCAAAGTTACCAAAATCAATACCAAAATCATTACCAAAACCAGTGCCTTCCATCGGAAGATTCTGATCAAAAGAATCAAAAGCCTCAAGAGTAGTGGACGAAGAAGCCCTCGCCATTGCCATCTGATCCGCCGCTTCATTCTTGACCATTGCCATATGATCCGCCGCTTGATTCATGGCCATTGCCATTTTATCAGCTTGATTCATCACATTCTTCTTCAAAACTTCCAACGAAGCAATATAATGCTCAAGCTCCTGCAACCCTAATTCATCAATCGGATCTTCCCACCAATACCCTGTTTCACTCGGTCTTCCTTTCCCCGTCCTGGCTTCTAACTCACCCAAAGCCTTGAAATAATTGTTCTTGCTAACTTGTAATTGCACTGCGAGCTTATTATCGTCATGATCATGTGTGGAATAATTAAGGTTAGGATTAGGGTATTGGGCGAGGAAGCGATTGACGACTGTGTCCGGGGACGGGCTGCCGAAGGTGTAGATCTTTCCGGCAGGTGACATGACTACAACGGCTACCTCCGCACCACACACGACGCTCAATTCACTGGCCTTATTGATGAGACCTGTCCGGCGTTTCGAGAAGGACACGTGTAGGTTGCTTTTGCACTCTATTTTCTTCATCTCCATCTTTTGTCGACCCTTGCTGTGTCTCTTCGGCTTGTTCTCCATTACTGCTGAATCCAAACCCTAGCTCCTCTCCTCCCACTATAAGAGAATACACTTTCTTTCCCTCTCTCTCTTTCTCTCTCTGTACATATATAGACAAAAATAAATAAATAAAAAGGCAAAAAGCAAATTGTCAAAATTACCCTTAAAAGTAACGTAACAATACATTAAAAAAATAAGGGAAAATTACATATAAATGGAGTCAAAGTTCCATATTTACTTAGAGACTGAGTCAAAGTTTCATATTTCTCTAAAATGGATTGCTGAGGTGGCACATGGTTTTTTACTGTTTAGAAAATTGTGGTGCCTAAAATGCCCTTCCCTAACAAAAAAGTAGTACCTTCAGTGCAAAAAAGTAGTACCTTCAGTTCAAAAAAGTAGTACCTTTGGAGAAAAAGTAGTACCTTCGCGGGTGTTTAAAAAATATGGTACCTGGACGCCAAAAAGTAGTACCTTCAGTTCAAAAAAGTAGTACCTTCGAAGAAAAAGTAGTACCTTCGCGGAAGGGTATTTTAGGCATCACAATTTCTAAACAGTAAAAAACCATGTGCCACCTCAGCAATCCATTTTAGAGAAATATGGAACTTTGACTCAGCCTCTAAGTAAATATGGAACTTTGACTCCATTTATATGTAATTTTCCCAAAAAATAATAATAATTAAAAAAAAAATTTTGAAACTTAGTGCGATGGTGTCACTGGTGGTGTAATGAGTAACATTATTCTCATATTTTACTTTTTAAATTTTATTTTAATGATATTTGTGGTAAGAGCAAAATTTAGTAAGTTTCTAGAAATAATGAAAATAAAGATTAGTACTAATTTTTATTTTCATTATTTTTGGAAACTTAATTATTTTAAGTCTTACCATCAAATATTATAAAAATAAAATTAAAATATGAGAATAGCGCTATTTTACTTTCTTAATTTTATTTTAATGATATTTGATGGTAAGATCAAAATTTAGTAAGTTTCCAGAAATAATGAAAAAATAAAAATAAAAATAAAAATAAAAATAAAAAACTTACTAAGTTTTGCTCTTACTATACTAATATTTATTTTCATTATTTTTGGAAACTTATTTAGTTTTGCACTTACCATCAAATATCATTAAAAAAAAAAAAATTAAAATTAAAATATGAGAATAATCCTGCTCATTGCATAACCACAGACTCCAAAAATTAATTAATTCCTTCAATTTTATTTTACTTATGTTTTTTAAGGTTTTGGGTGCGAACCGAAATCAATTGGATGTCTGAATTTGAGTAGAGAGGAAGGTTTAATGGTGAAGAAGATTAGGACTGTTGTGATTTCGTAGTTGCGAGGGGATTCCCAATTCTTAATTGGGTGATGTGGCCTATCATGTAGCTATGGTATATGACATATGTGGAGACAATTAGGGTTCTTCCTTTTATTATTATTTTTTTCCTCGGTAAATGAATAGTAATACTATCGACAAACAAACAACAAAGGAGACAACTGGGCTCAGCCCAACAAGGCCCAAAGCCGAACAAAGAAAAACAAAACAATCCAGCCCACATTTTTTTTTTTTTTGTTTTTTCATACTGCCCAACCATATTTTAAGGATTACATTTCTCACCAACGAATTACTCAAATGGTGTATGAAGTATAAAAGGAAAATGTTCTTTACAGTTCTTTGGAACAAGAATTGACATCAACCCACTCTATCCATGTTCTTAATAAGGAGAAACGAAACAAACTAAATAGTATACTATTTAATTAGGGGTGACGATTGGGTGGATTTGGATGGGCTTTGGGCGAGTTTGAAATGGGTCAGTAACTCATTCTCAACTTACTAATAGTGAGTTATGAATGGATAATGGCTCAAATGGACAGGTCAAAACGGGTTAATCCATTCAATTTTTTTTTTATTTTTTATTTTTTACTTTTGCAAATTTTTTACCTTCCTACTATCCATGGCAAAAAAAAAAAAAATTAATAATTTGTTCTTACATTTATTTTTTGATTTCAAGCATTATAATTTTTTAAAAAAAATTTACTTTGGGAAAAGTTACTATAGAACTTACTCAACAATATTAACTACATATATTTAAAAAAAGGAATTTTGAATAAGAGTTTTAATTAATTGTTGGTTTTTATTTAAGGAATAAAACAAAATTTGAAAGAAAAGTGGAGAGAGAGAAAGAGAGAGAGAGAGAGAGAGAGAGAGCTATCACGCGAAGAAAAAAAAAAAACACCGAACCAACAAGGAGAGAGAATGCAAAAAACAAAAACAGAAGCAGTGAGGTGAGAGAACGCAGAAAAAATAAATAAATAAAAAATGCAGGGAAGAGAGAAAAAAAAGTGAAAATAATGAAAAGGATAAAAGAGAAGTAGATAGACAGGATATGGAGGAAATGGAGGAGAAAGAAAATAGGATTTTATTTGAGTGGGTTAAGATGGGTATTCATTCTTAACCCATTATTGACCATTGAATTGTATGCCTACTCATTTTTTATTTATTGGTATTTACTCACTTAAATTTGGATGTCCAAATCATTTTTTACTTATTGTTATTTACTCACTTAAATTTGGGTGTCTAAATGATTTAATTTTAGTGGACAAGTTTGAACGATTTAATGGATTTCGGCTTAAACTGCTATCCCTATAAAGTATTACAAGGATCAATCATTACCTTATATCTGTCTCAAGTGGCAATTATTAAGTCTAAGACTGTGTAATAGAATTATTTTTTTCAACGAGTTGGGCATACTATGTCATCGAATCATAATCAAATTATGAACCGTGAAACCAATTTCACGTATAGTGAATTTCATTTGCATATTATTAATACGAGGATAATACCAATTTCGTTTGGTGTTGGTGTTCCTCTTGCCATGGTACTTACCTCTTCTTTTAAGTCAATTATCCAGAGATAAATAAGCTGTACATATACTAAATCCAAACCCATACTTATGCTATATCTCATTTAGCTTTTGAACAGAATACGCTTGAAACATTTCTAGTGACTTGGGTTTATTGCAATAAATGTTTATTTTATTTTCATATTTTAATAATACTTATGTTTGGGAACACTGAATTAATGATTTGAATTTAGAATCGAAACAAATTTAATTTAAAATTTTAATTAAATTTTTTTCAAATTCAAATTTAAAGTGCCGATTCAATACTTAAAACGCAACATAAATACATAAAATGTAAATTTGTTTCACTCCGTGTCCTTGCACGATGGATTGAGCGGCTGTCCCGTTGAAGCCTCAATAATGCAACTCCAATAATGTGATATTTGGTCGTTAATCGTTAAATCAAGGGGACAAATATAAAATTAGTTCAGCATTACACTCAAGTGAACTCATAGACAAACACCACACAAAGTAAAAGATGCCTTTAATGAGATCTAACAGGATATATAGAATTTGATGCCACACCCAATCTAACCAAGGGACCTTAACACCAAATTTGACCACCACTAATCTTTTCAATTCTCTCTCTCTCTCTCTCTCTTTCTCTCTCTAGCGTTCAAAACAGCATGGCCACTTTCCCGGTGGTACCACCATGCATTAACATTATATTAGTAATGATATATTATAGATAGCTCTGTGTGTGTGTGTGTGTGTGTGTGTGTGTCTTAGGGCTACAAGTATTGGAGATCAGGACTATATATCTATCTCTAGAGAGATCAGTAACATGGCTATATCTATCTCGAGTGGTCGAGACCATCATCAAGAAGCATGACTAATTAACATTTAGACATTGTGGCATCCATTAATGTAACACTAGAAAATGTCTAATGCTATCTATGTATTCAAGTGACATAAAGGTAGAAGAAAGTGCAGGGAAATTTTTTTTTTTTTTTTTTTTTGGTGCGGTGGGTTACACTAAGTGGAAGTAGTAATGTCAAACTTTGATGTCATATTTGGAAATTTGAGGATTTCATATTTTAACAGTACCCATCTAATTTCAGTCAATTTAGAGACCATTATATTAAAGAACCATCTATTTTTATGCTTTTATTTGATTTTTTATAATTAAAATTTGAACAATCAGTTACTTATTATTACCCAAAAAAAAATTTTAATTACTTATTAAAGAAAATAATACTAGTTAGTGACAGTAGTCTTTATTTGTGGATGATTAATTGTGCAGAATTTAGATATAATTAATGATCAATTGATTTTAAACATATTAGGCCACGGCAAACCCCAAGGTAATCATAGTATATATCACAATTTAGTGCTGGATGATCTTAAATTCACTGGCTTAAAAGTGAAATCTCACCATTATATATATAAACTGCCTATTTAATCTCTATATGTGTGTGTGGAGAGAGAGAGAGAGAGAGAGAGATAAATAAGCACAACCTTGAAAGTAAATAAACATGGGTGCACAATTTGTGCATATATGTGGGCAACATCAATGAATTTTTGTTGTGATTGGAAGAGAGAATAATTATCACAACACCATTCCGTACTACCAGGAAAGTGGTAACCCTTGACCTTTCATTTTTTATTTTTTTTATTTTAAAATGAGTAGCATAATGTATATATTTATCCCACGTTATCCATGTTTCTAGATTAAGGTGTATTAAGATACTTGGCATATATATATATATATATATATATATATATATATATATATATGATGAAGATGTCACTTTCCCCTCCTTGTCTATATACGAGTTAATATTCAATTTTCAGTCAGAATGAGGGTGTCTTTTCCATTTTCATAAATGATGGTGTCTTTTGTTTGATGATGGTTTTGGGGTGGTTCATTTGTCAAAAGGATGTGATTTGGGTTCAATACCATCTTTGAATTATCTGTACATATTAGACTAAAATAATGAAAGAAGATCTTTCTCACCCATAGATAGAGATACACACATATTTTTCCATTAATGAGAATTATGCTTGGTAAAGTTATATTTTAGAGAGTTTGAAAAGATAGTTTTCAAGTTATTTTTCTTAATTAAGTTTTCAAAAACGATTTTTAGAAAAGTCAAACAGATTTTTATATAATTTTTAAA